GAAACAACGCGTGCGAGAAGAGATTTTTCTTTTTCCTCTCTCTCTCTCTCTCTCTCCCCCTCTCTCTCTCTCTCTCTCTTCTTTCTTTTTCTTTTTCTTTCTTTCTTTCTTTCTTTCTCTTTCTTTTTTTTCCGTTCCGTGATCTTCCAATCGTACACGCGGTTTCGCCCGGGACGAATCACTTCCACTTGGTGTCCACACCGCGAATGCTTCAGCGTCGTCTCGTGGAACTTGATGGAATTCGGACAGAGTTAGTGTAATTATAGAAGGGGGCCATTAGTCGCGGGGGCTGTGATTATTAATTATTATTTGTGCGATCGGACGAGAAGAAGGCGGGCACGAGCTCGGGCAGGATTCGATGCGCGGCTTCCAGTCGAGTTTTCTCATTTTTTTTTTTTTCCTTTTTCCTTTTTAATCTAAAAATGGAAGACGTGGGATAGGGTTAGACGAGCGGCGAGGCTCGACCTAGAAGACGGGGAAGACGATTCAAACACTGGATATCCCTTTCGTTTCGAATCCCAACACAATGGGATATCGTCCATAGGCTACGTATGGCTCGAGATCACTTCGAGATCTTATATATAGAATTTTATTTATAATTTGAGATGAGACGAAAATCGATTCCTGTCGTAAATCGAAGAACGAGCCAAATTCGTATAAACCAAGTTTCTTTGGAAGAAGACGCCTCGAAGAATGCATCTCTCGAAATATTTTTCCATTAATCTATTCGTAAACGGTGTTCCAAGAGATAGTATAAACGCCGTTCGCTTCCATTCGGACAATTTCAAGCAAAGCCTGGTCGAATACGTATACACAATACGGCAGGAACACATTCGTTGTGCCGGTTGACGGCTCAACCAACCGCGTGTTCCTTCTCCGCGTATGAATCTTATCATTGATTTAAAGCCGCCGTGGAACACGTTCGAACACCAACAAACTGATACCAGACCACCAGACAAACATCATTCGTATATACACGACGTCTGACACGTCTATCATATCCTCGGATCAACATCCTTTATCGCGCGATAAATCTGTTTAAATCTACACATACGAAAACGAAATTTTCATCGATCATCCAGATGATTGATTTCTATGCAAAGACGAAATGTGCACAATATAAATAATAATAATAATAATAATTACTTTTTCGTATAATTCTCGATTGAGGAGTATTCGAGTATTATACACGTCATCGTAGAATAGGAAATTTCCATTTCACGTGATCCGTGAATTTAAGTGTTAAGCGTTGAAATCCAGCCGAGCTTTCGTTATCTGAACTGGTGCCAAGCGTCAATTATATGAACATCTGTTATGAATGGGAGAAACAAAGACGTAAGAGAACGACGATTCGAGAAAAAGCGGTTCTACGATCGTTAAAAGTTCGAGGATGAAAAATGTCAACGATCATTCAACAACGATTAATTAAACAACATTACGATTAATTAAACATTAACGATTAATTAAACATTAACGATTAATTAAACAACAATCATTAATTAAACAGCTCTCCCGTTTAAACGGATCATTTCTATTACTACCTTCCCGATCGATCCAACGTTTAAAATCCCTCTGTATGAACTCCGATTATTCGAAGTTGAGAAAAGTATGCGGGAGGATAATGTCGACGGACTCAACAGCATTGAACACAGCCGAGAATCTACAACCGATTCTGTACAAATGCAAATGTAAGGTTCTCCCTTCCTCTTCGGAGATGAAAAGGAAACCTCTTCCAACCGGATGGAAATTATCGAACGTCGAAAGAAAATAGCAAACAAGAGGTTGAACGAGTGAGAGAAAAAGACTTTAATCGATCTCTCGAGATTCAATTTCGAGATGATGATTCTGAAGAGGATGGTCGGAGGATCGGCCATCGGTTAATTAGCGAATTAACGTGATTGAAAAGGGAAGAAGCTCGAGTGAGAAAAGAAACGGAGCAAGAAGTGGCTTAATGGAACTTGGATGAGCTTCTTTCACCCCAGTCTCTCAAATACTATTCCTGGCCACGGTTTCGATTTCAAAAAAATGGTGCGACCCGTCCAAATTTTTCCTTTAAATAAATTTCGACGATCCAAGACGATTGGAAGGGCGATATATCTCGAGAATAAAGGAAGAATTAACACGGCGGAATAGGAATGGAATGGAATAGGAATGGAATGGAATGGAAGTGGATGGGCCGAAAGAAAAATGGCGAGTTCGAGTTCGAGAGAGAGAGAGAGAAAGAGCACAAGGGGGATTAGAAGAGGGAAGAGGAACGACACTTAATGGGGTTCCGATGGGGTCTCGTCCCCGATCTGCCAGAGGATCATTTATCACCTCTCATTTTCCCTCGTTAACGTCGATTCTACCACGTAACGAGTCCACAACTACGACCCCCGCCGCTTCTTTTCGAATTTCGATTATATTATATGGCGGCGCATCCCTCGTTGCTTTCTACACGATGAATATAAAAACGTTGAAAAAAGAAATGAGATCCGAAGAGAGATTTCGAGCCAAACGTTTCTTCACGCCTCGGTTTCTAATACGAATCTACTTCTCCAAGAGAAGTATCGTTGAGCGAGATAAACTCGTGGACGTTCTCACAATGATGGGACTACTTTGGCAAGAATCTACTACTCTGCGTGCTTCGAGAGACGAGAGAGAAACAGAGACAGAGAGAGAGAGAGACAGAGAGAGAGAAAGTGAAAAGGCCGCTCGACTGAAAGAGGTAACCCTAAGGTCTCGATCTACGAGATTCTCAAAGAGAGATCTAATGATTTCGATTAAGGAGGAGGGGGGAGGGTACGCCATGCTCGTCGTCAATTCAAAATTATCCATCTATCGGGAGAAACGACGAACCTTTCTATTCCCCCTCTCCGATTCTATTCGCTACGACATCGATTTAGAATTCGAATAAGACTAGTAGATTAAGGCTAAAGAAGATAATTTTTTCAAATTAGAAGGCCGATAACGACTCGATAATAATCTAGATAATCGCTACGATTCTACGGATGATTTAGAGCCATGGTTTCGAGCCCTCGATCATCGATCTTGGTGCTCAAGAGAAAGATGGATCACGAGAAATCGAGAAACGCGAGAATCTTCTATCTAAACCTGATATGGATCCGACAGAATCACTGGAACACGATTGCGGAAAGGAACAACGGCCGCTCGTGTCTCGAGAAATTTATCAATCACAGAAGAAATGTATCACAAAGGAAAGCCTCGAGAGATTCTCTCCTTTCTTTCTTTCTTTCTTTCTTTCTTTCGATTCCTGGACAACCGAAAGCGCGACACGCGACAACGATTCGATCCCCCTTCCCTCGACGAGGAAAAAATCGAAAAATCGGCCGAATTATATCTTCGAAACGCTTCCTTTCGAAACTCTCGAAACGTTCCGAATGGATTTTGGAAGAGTTCCAAGAACGCACCGCGTGCGTTCCATCTTTTTATCTTATTCCTTTTATTCATCACTTCTAGAATACCACGTACGAACGCGAGAAAATCGGGATCGAGGAACCGCGGTCATTTCTCGATTCGTTTGTACCGATCGTTGGTAAACGAGAAACCGATAAAACCGATCGTCTCGAGGAAACGCGGCCGATCCATTATATTGCATTGTGAAATTCTCTTCTATGTCGCGAATCTCTTCCTCCTGAAGGAGAGGAGGAAATCTGTCCGCGAGAGGAGGAGGAATCTTCGATAGCTTTCCCCCAGTGTTCGAAACGACAGATTTATCTAGCTAGTTATCAAATATACGCGCCGAATAATCCGTGATGCGACGCACGACACGGGGGTAGGGGATGATGAATTAGCGAGAATATCAGAATATACAGGAGGAAAAGAGAGAGAGCACACGGTTCGAAATTCGAACCCTCGTTGGCAGTGCTTGTGGGAGAGACTCTCCTTGGAGAGTCGTGCTTAACAACCGGGATTCGATGTCGACGATATTTCGTTGTCGCGACTCCACTTCACACCTCATAGGATAATCCGTTACGTTATGCATCTCGACTGACGTAACTTCGTCATCTACGTATATATATAATATAGCGGTGTTGTTGGAATCGAGAAGAGAGATGGGGTTTCATTTAAACGTCGAATCCCGGCAATTAATCTCCAAGCGACTCGTAATAATCTAAAAATCGGTGAACGATCGTTAGGATCGCGATTGATCCAGTCTTCGAGGACGTGGGATTTCGCCCTAGGATCGGAACACAAACGTTTTTTTGGATTTCTTTCGAACCCGGCCAACTTTGCTCGAGTCTTCGTTCGATCGGGGACAACTAAGAAGATCGAGGCCGAGAATCATCCCAAGCCGATCGCCCAACGATCGAAGATAAGATCGAACGGTTTACCTAAAATTTCGCGAGAAAGAAGTTCCTCGTATCGGAGCCAAAATCGAAATTAGCGCCTATAGTGTCAGTCAGTCGGTTTTGGAATCAAATCCCTCGAATCCCTCCAAGATATGGAACGTTCAGTCTTTCCTCATACCGATCCTCGTTACCCCATTACTTGTCGTCGCAGCCTCGAGATCGAGTGCTGATCCACCTGATATCGATCCATCTAATATCCACCTAATATCATCCAATAAATTCTTCAAATAACGAGGCTTCCGTTTCCCCCTGCAACAGCGGGGAAGAACGAAGCTGAGTAAGAACTCACCACGAAGAGAAACGAGAGGTGGTGCAGGTGGTGTGGGATCTCGAGATCGGTGGTGAGGTATCGATATATCGCAATCTCGATCACGGTCGAAAGGGAACGAACGAATTCCTTCGATTGTGAATCGCTGTCCCGAGCCCGGCTCACACCCTTGTCTCGTTGTAGGGGCTGGAGGAGGTGGTGCCCTGGCGACGTTGCCGATCACTGTCACCGGGCACGTTAAACGCGACGTTCGGCACCGTGGTTGGGTCAACCGGCTGATAATGGGACTGCGCCGGCTGCGATTGGTGAGAGTGGGAGGAAGACGAGGGTGGGCCCTCGCTTATGGAGGTCGTCGAGGCGAGAATACGGCGACCGCGTACCTGGTAACGTTGGGGGTAGCAGCGGCCGCAGCAGGCGTGCAGCAGGCCGCCCCTCGAGGCAGTGCTGTGCGCGGGAGAGGTGAGGGGCGAGGGCGAGCCCGGCCTCTTCGGGGCACCGTTGTAGGGCACCTCCATCTCCACGAACTCGCGATCCTGAAACAGAAATCGTCGTCTTTGGTCAGTTTAAATTGTGGATATTCTCTAAGCAAGATTCGAGAAAAAAGGAAAATGTCGATCGAGTTATATTCGATCACGATGAGTAGATTTTTACAAAATTTGAGGGAGACGAAGAGTTATCTTTGAAAATATTATGAATTGAAAGGGAAAAGGAAAAATGTATTCCAATGTTCAATGTTAGGTGAAAAGATTTCTAAATTGTGGATGTTTTCTAAGCAAGATTCGAGAAGAAAGGAAAATGTCGAGTTATTTTCGATCATGATGAGTAAATTTTTCGTTTTGCAAAATTTGAGGGAGGCGAGGAGTTATCTTCGAAGGTATTATGAATCGAAAGAAAAAAGGAAAAATGTATTCCAATGTTCGATGTCAGGGATGAATAAACCCCTTAATTATGGATATTTTCTAAGCAAGATTCGAGAAGAAAGGAAAATATCGATCGAGTTATTTTCGATCGCGATGAGTAGATTTTTGCAAAATTTGAGGGAGACGAAGAGTTATCTTCGAAGATATTATGAATCGAAAGGAAAAACGAAAAATTTATTCCAATGTTCAATGTTAGAGGTATATACCTCTAAATTGTGGATATTTTCTAAGCAAAATTCGAGAAGAAAGGAAAATATCGATCGAGTTATATTCGATCACGATGAGTAGATTTTTGCAAAATTTGAGAGAGACGAAGAGTTATCTTCGAAGATATTATGAATCGAAAGAAAAAAGGTAAAATTTATTTCAATGTTCGATGTTAGGAGTGAATAAACCCCTTAATTATGGATGGAAAGGAAAATATCGATCGAGTTATATTCGATCACGATGAGTAAATTTTTCGTTTTGCAAAATTTGAGGGAAACGAGGAATTATCTTCGGTATTATGAAGGTATTATGAATCGAAAGGGGAAAGGAAAAATGTATTCCAATGTTAGGGGTGAATAGACCCGATGATAATATTATTTCGTTATTCGTTATTGACTTATGCACACACCCGTTTCAATATTAATAATCGTGAGAAAGTTCCTATAATGGATCGTGATATTTTAATCCTAACGCGTAGAAGGAAAATAGAAATCGAACATTCTTGTTTATTTAATGTAGCGCCACGTGAGTTTTTTAGATCAAGGGTAGAATCGTCTAGGTCTACTTAAAGCTATAACGTAACTCGCGTGGTAAAGCCTGCCACGCTGAGTTTACAGCCTCGTAATTCATCGTCTAAAGTTTCTATCCCCTTGTTCTAACTTTTATAATCCACGATACACCATCGATATACCTCGTTACCCATAAATTTTTATCGATCCACGCAAATTTTTAATACCATATTTCCTTTGTTTATGATTCCATTTTTTTCTTTTTAGTAGTAGAATATCATAATCAATCGAGTAGATTTTTACACACATAATGCATTACACATATAAGTTTACACGTAACTTTGCACAAGGTTAATATACGAATTATACTTTCTAAATGTTTCATAAAGAAAGTTAACTTCATAAACTCGATGAAAAATTTTTTTTTATTTTTCATCAGAATTAATCACGATATCGAATAAATTGTGCAGTAGATAGAGTATACGGCTAGTCAGACAATTATACACGCTTCGACCTGAATAGATCCGTTTTGAATTTCCGTGATACGTGGTTTGAATATATTTGAAAATAAAATTTTCGAAATTTATTTTCGAATAATTATTTTTCATTACTGATTGTAGAGTGTCATTGTCGATTTTTTTTTAAATTAATTCTAACCCAATTCTATTACGAATCGAAAATACAAACTCGAAAAATTATTCTCAAAAATTTTTCATTAATGACGACTATTTCGATTTTTAAAAAAAAAAAAGAAATTAATTCCAAGGATTTAAAAGAAAAACTGTCGGGAATTGCTTTCGACAGTCATATTTCTAAACAAATCTATCGAGACCAAGTCATTCATACCCTCAACGCACAAACGAACAATTACCCTCGACGCAATATTCATTTGTCGAGAAACATTCCGAAAAAGTAATTGTTCCGATTGTTTATTTACTTTCAAATATACTCGCTCCCTTACATAGAATATCTTTTTAAAAGCGTCTAATAAAACGAAGGGGATAAAAACGCGAAAGAGGGTAAAATATGTGTACCGAGGAAAATAGTTCAACGAGGAAAAGTGGTGAATACGTTGGCATTTTCACAAGGGCAATTTCGCCGGGTCCTATTGTTGTCGACCGAAGTTTGGTCCACCGGGTATTGCTAGAACTGCGTTCCAACTTGTTTCTCTTCTCGAATTACATAGCCGGAGGGAAAGCACGCGCGTTTACGCGAAAGGCTTATTGTTACAGTTGTGCTCACAGGATTTCGTCCATAATCACGATGGAAATATTTACATTCCTATACAATACACCTCGAAATTCATCCTAATTCTGTCGCGATTCTATCGATCTAACTCCAAATTATAACAACGATACATTTGAATAAAGCGTACAATGAAATAAAGAAATAAATTTCTTATTTTCTTTCTTAATCTTCTATAATAATATTTAAAAAATTCGATCGATCGATTTTAACAAATCTTAGCACTCTCGCGTATCAATTTATCCAAAGATCTATAATCGATCTGTATCTCTGTATTTCGTATCGTAACGACTATAAATTTTTCTCGTTACTGCACTAATTTACAATCGATAACCGATCGATCGAAGGGTAGAAATGGGGAGAAAAGGGTTAATCAACTTAAACCAAGCATCCATAATGTTGAAGCGCAAAAAAATAGAGCAGGCAACGTTTCATAACCTCGAGGGATCGATCGAGGGCAAACGATGGAAAATCTATCGAGTGTTTAACCGAGAAAGTGGAGGCCCCCCTCCCCTCCCTCCCAACTTTCCTCCTAAAGTGGTTTTCCAGATGAGATTGCGTGGCTGCTCCGTTTCCACGGGATCAAATCTTGCGCCGCGCAGCTTGCAAGTGGCCGAGTGACTCTCGCCCAAACTGACGTCGAGTGATCGCCGATAACCGATCCTTTTCCTTTCTACGTCCCGCCATACTGATTTCCGCCTATGCATTCGAGCCAAAGTTTTATCGATCGATCAGCGATAAAGTCGAGATGGCCGGGTCAAGTGGGCCCTTCGATGCTTCTCCGCGTTTTAAAAAGACGTCGAAAATTCACTTTCTACTTCTCCATAATCTCCTTCTTTCCGCGAAAATCGATATCGACGATGAATTTTTGACTCGAAAGATCGGATGGATGAAGTGAAGAAAAGTTGGTGAATCGCAACGACGAATAACAGATCTTGGATCTCTCCGCTATGTTTCATGTTTCAGATAGATTGTTCAAGCTATTCTCATCGATAATCAGCGACAAGGAAGAATTTGGCAGCTTTCTTCGAGGATAATTAATTTTCGCTTTGGTCATCTCGAGAAAAAAAAGAAATCGAAGTGCTGCTTCGAATGAAGAAACGAGAGAATTATCTTATTTATTCCATACAGTTAATAATAACAGTGTCCACGAATTCCGTTACGTCGACATCTAACATTATCCACACACATAGACACACATACACACATACGCACACACGTTCGAATACTTTTACCGCAAAATGTGGCCATTGATCGGCGTTTCCTTGTCGATAAAACTCTGATTTATCGACTGAAACGTATCGACGATTCAACGTCTAACGTCCCGAAGTTTCGACGTTTTCGATGAAAAGCCAATCGTCTTCAACCGTTCGCACATTTTGATCCGATCGATACCGCTCGAAACCGTAGAGAAATATATTTAAATTTCGTCGAAAATTCCGATATAAAGTTTATTTCGATCGTGAAAAATATTCCCCGCAGACAAGAAGAAGAAGAAGAAGAAAAAGATAGAGAAAAAAGAAAGAAGAAAAAGACACGAACGATTCATCAAACGAGTTCTCTCTCTCTCTCTCTCTCTCTCTCTCTCCACAGTTTTATCCGTCCAAGTCACTTTCTCAAAGTCTCTATCGTTTCCCTCGGATTAAACTCGTCCTTATCGTGTCGGAGAGCCTCTTATTTTCGTCCCCGCGAGCATCATCCAAGCGTGGAAATAAAACGAGCCACTTCCTCCTCCACGCCACGGATGCCGAATCGGCAAAAAAGATATCTCTTTCATCCTCCTCCCCTTCTCCCTGTTATTCCTCACCATCTTCTCGTGAAGATGGAATTCCACTCTCTCTCTCTCTCTCTCTCTCTCTCCAACGAGATCCGATTTGATCGAATGGAATGGGCGAATACTCGATCGAGCGAGATAAGGTTCCTCGATACTTTGGACAGAGTTTCGATTTTTGTGGAATCTTTGTTGTCGAAGGATGGGATATACGATGGTTATCGATCAAGGCTCCAACATCGTCTCGAATGATAACGATTCGAGGATAGACAGCAGAGGGGGTGTGTATATGTACATGTGTGTGTGTGTGTGTTTCCACAACTTTGTTTCAAAGCGACGACTTGGACGGTTTCTTTGTCACATAGTGGGGCAAGGATACGCGCTCCACTTTGATCAAGGAACAAAAGGGAGCTGTGGCTCGGTAACGCGCCGCTTTGTTCGATCAATCTTTTCCTTGTGCCGTTGGAAAAAGCCTTACTTTACAGAAGAACAACGGATAACAGAGAACACTTCTCTCCTCTATTTGTTTCCGATTCCCCGAGTAAGTTGTAACAGAAGAATGGCCGACTGACAAATCGAGGCCCAAGGCCGAGGATTATTAATGGATTGGAAATAAGATTTCCGATTGTCGGAGGAGCGAGTGTGTTTAACGATCTGAGGGAAAGGGAAGAGAGGAAGGGGGTTTGGTTTCGGGATGGTGGCAGGTGGGGCGCTTTAATTAATACACGTGTCGAGGGAAGGGGGAAAAAGTTTGCCCCCCTTCCTCGAGTTTCTCAAGAATATCCAACCAACTATCATTCGTTCCACTTTTCCGAGGTAATGAATATAAATTGCACTTTTATAAATCGAACTGTTCGCAAACTTCGTTACAATTTTTCTTC